TATATATATATATATATATCCCCACTATGTATTTAAATTATATTAAATAAGCAGACATTTACGTACTTCACAAGCATTTTTTTTTATTATTAGTTTCTTTTTCTTTTTTTTTTCATTTCCTTATTTAGCATGTTTAAATTCAAAGCTATAGCAATTTCTATTACTTACCTGAATATACCACATACGACGATGTAACTGCAGCCAAAACCGCAATGATATAAGACATATGTTGCAGCCTCATGTTAAAATGTTCAAAATGTCACCCATGAATTTAATTGGAACATATGTTTTTTTTTCTTCGAATCAAAACAAAAATATATTTCACACAACTTGAACAAAAGAGGATGTAATTCCTCTGACTCAATTACCACGTGCTTCTCTCAACCATAATTAACACTTTGTTCCTGAGCGGAAATGTCACTTCTTTGTTTGTTTTACTTTCCCGGACAACCTTAACTGATACGAGTCACTTCCCATGCATGTGCGATCCTTTTTCGGAAGAAAACAGGATTTCGAAAGAAAAAAACCGGATAGATTCCCTTCTCACTCCGCTTGTCCGCGGATAAATAAAAGGATAACGGGAGAAACAGCGGTTGTTATATAGTGGGCGCGTCGGATTGGTCCGTGCGCCTGCGCCCTTGAAGTTAACGAGTAGGGGGGGTCACCTAACTTGTCCATCAATTTCCTGTGGGTATAGTCAAGAAGATAGAAGGGGGGCTGAAAAGAAAATCTGAGAGCTCTCTCCTGGATTCGCCGGAGCGAATGGGGCGTGTTGTTTTGAGCAACATAACGGGGCATCTAGACAGTGTGTGGGAATTTTTCTCAGGATTTAAAAATATCCTGGAGAGAGAAAAAAAGGAAAATTGAAATACCCTCGGTAGTTTTAGTAAGATTAATCGTGCAGGAAGAGAAGTAGATTTAGAATGCTCGTAATTTGGAAAATTTTTATGTTTCGCCATTTTTTTTTCAACTTTTAAAAAACTTCAACTTTGTAAAGAAAGCGGTTACTGAAAGAATAACACAATCCTTTCTAAATGAAGAGTAATGCTAGTTATTTATTCTCGTGAGGTGAATTTCAAACCTTGCTCTCACATCGTTAATATTCACCACTTTCTAGATTACGTAAATGAATTTAGAGTAAATATGAGACGTGGAAAAGCCTGTTCGAAAATTCGTTGTTCTCTTTCAAAACAATAAACAGGTGGAAAGGATTCAAATTAGGGAATAATCTAATTTAATTTCGCGTTATACACGTGTAGTTTTTTTCTTCTTATTTTGAGAAATGAATTGCACGTTTTTCCTGCATTGGTTTGTATGTTCCACTAACTTCGTGTGCTTTAGAAATTCTAAGCTAGTGTAATAAGTAATGATAAATAGAATGTGTTAGAACGTACAAAGATTAAATATTTTGTTCTGTACATTTAGGAGTGCTAAGCATACATTCATATTTGTATAAAAAACAATAAAAATCATTAACATAAACTACAAAATACAATATAAGAAAAAACAATTATGAAATGAATTATAGGCTTAACCATTTTTTTACTGTCTACTTTCGTATGTCTGCTGTCAACCACCATAGATATGGGTAATGATCCAACAGTATTCTTAATTTTAGTTCAAAAGCTTTGGATGTATATAAAATTTAAAATAATAATTTGCAAATTGTTTTAAAATATGGCAGCGGTTATCCTTCTGAAAAAACAATAATTTGTTTCATAACACTTTAATTTTCTTTTATCCAACAAAAATATTTTCGAATAATGTGACAGCACTATTTATAAATATTTTTGACTGTTAAAGGATAATAACATGATTATTAAGGGAAAATTCCAAAAACAGAATATTAATTATTAACCTTCCTATTACTAACAAGGAATAGCAAAAATTAAAAGACTTTAGCATCCAGCCCCAATAGTAGAACTCTCGCCCTGGAACAATTAGCTGATTTCAGATTTGATGTACTCAAGAGTAACCTGATCAAGAGAAGTTTCATTCATTCGAATTAACTTAAATAAGACAAATGCTGAATTAAGATCAATAATCCTCCTGAGTAGAAACTTTCACCTATAATTGTTGTTATACTTTATCCTTCAGAATATGAATTTATAACCTTTGGACCCAATAGAATAGTATCTAATAGTGTGCTGTTTTAAAAATTCAAGAGAGTTAGTACAGTGCTGGAAGTAATAACGCTATTCAAGTAAAACGCTTATTTGACTTACGGTGCACAAGTTCTTAAAAACTTTTGCAGTTCACCCATACTTTTTGTGACTGTAAAAAAAAAGATCGATCCAATAAAATTACATCATACAAGAATACTAAGCAACTTATAAATGCAGCACCAAAATTAATTAATTGATTCAAGAAACAAGAAGACTTAGTTTAATAAGAAGTAGCTCTTTCTTTTTAACCATGACTCAACTCTTACAGCCTTTAAAGAATATGGACTTCTTCGAAATATTTAATGGAGTGCTAAAAGTGCAATATTTAATTCGTATATTTTTTTAACATTTCTTGAATTATGGAAATAAATATATGGCATTTTAATTTATTTACACAAATAAGTATGACATGCGTGATTTCATATAATAATTCGCCTCGTATAGAGATTATAGCCTTAAAATGTCACGGGTGCATCAGCGTTGTCACGCATGCATCTACGTTGTCATGTATGCATCTACGTTGTCACGCATGCATCAAGGCAAATTTAGTTTGGTATGAACATTTTCATGTAATTACTCACAACTTATACGAAATGACACTGAAAAATTAAATCAGATTCTTCACTTTTGATCACTGATGGAAACCTTTCCTTGTAGATTTTCCAAAACCTTAGGTCGTTGTCTGGACTGAAATTGAGCCCACCCGATGCTTTGAGGTCTTGTCACCAAGGTCTTCTAAGTTGAAATGAAAGCTAACACTCAGTTCCTCCACAGCTTATCTGGAACTATAAAGAATAAAACCAATAACTGGACACAATATGCAAGAAACTAATGCTGGAAATTAAGTAGGAAAATAAAATAAGCAACAAAGTGTATTTTTTTATCAAAGAGTGTAAATTGCTGTATCCGATTGGGTGGAAAATATAAATCGTAACTACGCGGAGAACTTTACAATTTGGATGGAGCATTTTTTTCCTTCCACTTTTCTAGACAAAGAAGACACTTATGCTTGTAATTTCATTGCCTAACCACACACTAACATACCTAATCATGCAACAAAATAAAAAATAGGCATTACAATAACAATCAGTAATTCATGCTAATTTTTCTAAATTTGACCGAGCACAAATAGCTAAACGATGCTTCGATAGAACGCTCACTTGATAGAACGTTCACTGTTAGGTTCTCATGAGATCTCCTTCTGAGGTAACACTCACGCGCTAGCATTTACTGTGGCTACGAGGAAAAGTCTTTTCGAATAGGGCTGATGGTTGAACCGTTTTGTATTGATTCAGATTGAGAGAGTCGCGTCGTTTCTTCCATTTCCCCGTCTCTGAATAAATTTTATTCATTTTAAAATCGAAGCAGACATTGTCAATTTAGAAACGAGAGAAGTTCTCGAGATCGAGGGAAAGTTTGTCCTATGATCAGAATACTTAACAGTTCAACGCGTCAGTAAGAACATGTGATTTCTTTTGTCCTCATAACAACAGTCTATCTCATTTTTTTCGATCACATTTGGTCAGTAGGAAAGGAATAAAACAAAAATGGTCAGCTTCATAGCACACCCTTCCAAAAGAAATCGATCGAGACTTGTCTTAAGCATAAACCCGCAACAATGTCTATTTTTCCATACCCTGCACGAACAAGAGCAGACCCAGACGAAGCATCCAAGTATCATTGGTTCTAAAAAAAATCCTTCCTGGCAAACTATATTGTCAGACCTTGATATAAGGTCATCCTAAGAGACGTTGTAAAAGTGACCTTATAAGGGGGGGGGACCTTTTAACCGATTAATTAGCAGTTCGTAACTAAGCACGTAAATAGTACACTTATAACTTTTCAAAAATTGTAATACAAACAAAAACGATTGGCCATAAATAAATATTTAAGTCAATAAATTTTAACAGAATTAGTAAGGAATTAAAGAAAGTTAGATTTTCAGAAAAATTTTCAGCTCTGTTTACAAATTTCTGCAAAGTGTACATGCATGCATTACATTTTACCTTATTTAAAATAATCATTTATGCAGGTCTGTCTCGTTTTTGGCATCATTTTTCGAACAATGTTTTCTAGATTTTGCAACTTCTCAAAATGTTCCTCAGCTCCCTCATGGTTTGTAAAAAAAATTCTTATGAAATTTATTACATTGAAGGCTTCCACTTGGGATCCAGCTACAGTCTCAGGATCACTGTCATTGTAATCACTGTCCCCAACTTGTGACACAATTTAAGAAATTGTAGCTTGTTCGTTGGCTGCAGCATTTTCCTAGAACTCGAGAGGGGTAATTGCCTTGCAAGGAAGTTAAATAGGATTTTGTTAGAAAAGAGCTTCCCTCTCCTCAGATAAAAATGACCTTATAAGCGATAACGATTTTTAAAACTTGACCATATATCTGTAACAAAGAATTCCTATTCAGTGAGACGGGACTTTGAAAAAATGACCTTATATGCGGGGTGACCTTATATGCGGATGACCTTATGTCGAGGTCTGACTGCAATAAATACCGCTTTTCTAATTAACCCACTTGACGGTTCTACGCTTGTAAAGAGTGGTATTTTAACCTGCAGTCTTTTCCGCATAGCAAAACCGGTTTTTCCATGTACTTCGATTGAGCAGCGTATAGAGGAGAAACATTCTCCCAATTTTGCACTTTCGATGAACCACCAGTGGGTTAAAAACAAACAAAAAAAAATCTGAAAGCTTTCTTTTTCTCCGGGCTTCATTACCTACTTACGCGAAAAAAATTATTAACGGTATACTTAAGAGAGGAAGAGGAAGAAAAATATAAATACTTTTTTGGTTAAGCATGGGCACAAATAAAATGGAGTTTAAATATTATTTTCTATTTCTTTTTAAAGTGTATGTTCCTTTAGAGAAGTAGGTATTTTTGTATTCTTCAATGTTTAATGACATGATATATAACACATACTAAACGTTTATGATAAAAAATCAATTTAGTTGGCATCACCTCCTTTAGCAATAAATTAAAAACTCAAAAAACCTAAAACTTGATACCACCCTTGCTTAAATATCTGTTTCAAGATATTAGTATTTTGTAAAGTTACCTTATCTAGCGAACAGAAACTCAATATTTTTTTTCTCAGTTAGCTGAACCACTAGACATTTTTGTCATTTCTTATATGCACTTTTCATCATTCTCTTGCGCCATCATTTTTTAAATGATATGCAAGTAAATATCGATATATCAAAAGGAGCATTTACTTTTTTGAGAAGTTTCGATCTTTTGCGATGGCTTTCAAGTCTTGTCTCTGAAAGATTTAAGAGGAACATTATATTTGAAGTCTTGTGAAGGAATTTTTTTAATGTAGTGCTGTGTTATTGGGGAATAAAGTTTATTTTTTAAGTTTATTTATATTACTT